TTCCACCTGAACCAGTTCATCCCAGGTACATGTGTGTGTCTCATAGGTTGTGATTAAGTATAATGTGTATTATCGTTTCATGCAAACATAAAATTCATTTTTGATCCAAAACCTTTTTCCTCAAGCCAGTGCCAAGTACTTCCAAGCTCCCGGCAACACCTGCCAGACAGAGCAGGAGGAAGAGCGAGTTGTCTTCCCTCCCAGAGACCAGGAGAGGCAGCCCAGGTGACAGCTCAAGGCAGCGACGGGGAAGAACGCCTCCTGTCCTGGGAAGGAGAGTCTCCAGAGGTGAGATTCACTTCAGATATCACTGTTTCCTCTAATGAATATCAAATCTACATTAACACACACTGCTCTCTGATTATCTTTCAGCTGTCTTCTTGGACTGAACTCGGGCCCTGCAAACTGGGCCAGTGTTAGCCGCCTGGTGGAGGCCGTTTGCAACCAGCTCTGCCGTCTTCACCCGGTGGCCACGTGGTCCAGAGGGACTGTGAGGACTCGCTGGTCATTCATTCTCCAGGATTATGGAGAAGGTTGATGACTCAGACCAACATCCAGCTCTTTGAATTGAATTGAGGACTCGGTGGTAAGAGTTTGTCATGAAGCTGTTGGTGTGTTGTAATCTGTTCTGTGATTTATCTTTTAATGAAAGCTGAAAATCCTAAAACATCCTAAAAGTCTGTGTTTGTCTGTGTGTCCAGATGCTGGCCAGACTCTCCCTTCAGCAAAGGGTCTGTCATTGGTCCAGGTGGGACAAGGACAGTCCTTTAACCTCTTCTGTTCCTCCACCTCCTCTGCCTGGACTACCTGTACCCAGGACCAGAGCCTACAGGAAGAGGAAGGCGTCCCGAAGCTGCTGTGGCAGAGCGGGGGCCGCTGCCTGGAGGAAAAACCCCTCCGGCTGCCGACATCATACATCTGCCAGGCAAGTGTGGACAACCCAGAAGGATTGGCACTGACTCACTACAATTGCAGGTGTGTCCACACTGTGACTGTTGGTAGAAAGACTGTGGAGGAGTGGAGGGAGAGAGATGAAGAGAAGACAGACAACGTTTTCTATTCTTTCATTTTATACTTTTAATTTGACATTTATTATATTTGATTTGTTTGCATTTGGAGTGGTGTTTGTGTCACCTGATGTCTCATGATGATGCAGTCCAGTGTTCCCTCTCTTTAGCTCTGTGTTTGGGTCTCCACAGCTCCTAGGGAAATCTGTGTCTTTAGCTCTATTGCCTCCACTCTGTCAGCAGCTGCTCTCAGGACCGTGTCTCTGCTGTTTGCTGCTGATGATGGTGTCGTGGACAGGGCTACGGCTGAAGAGTCTATATTATTCAAAGATGACAGACTAACTGAATCATGTATTTATTGCACACCCCCCCCCCCCCCCCCCCCCCCCCCCCCCCTGTTTTTCTTTAATTATATTTTTAGATTGCATTCACCATGGCCTTTAAAAAGGTCATAAAACTCTTCAACACCAGGATAGAAAGTTATAAATGGAGCGCAGTGGAAAGACTTGAAGTGGACTGTTTCCCTGGTAAAAATGTTGTAAATAGTTCCATGGGCACCAATGCTGTTTAGTGTGTGTAAGAATTCATTTGTAATGGTGTGCCTTTTTTTTATTCTTGCGGCCTCCACATCAAAATGTGCGTGGCGCAGTGGATGGTATGGGCATCGTTTAGAAAAGTAAACGTCATACACATGTACTCCACTTGTCACCAGGGGGAAGGAGCCCTGAGGAGATTCATCAGTTTTCACCTGAAACCTCAAGTTCTATTAGTTAGTTTATGATAAGTTTATTGCGCTACAGTGACAGTGGTATTACAAGATGAGACGGACGGTTCAGGACATCTAGCACCAGTTACACAGTGAACCTTTCTAAGACAGTCTGCAGTCACTTACCTCTGCCCCATTGACCCCATCACCGTTCTGTCCAAAGAAATGCATTTTATTAAGCGTTGCTGTATATTGGGTAAACTTGAAATAAAGGGCTGATTTGTTTTAGCATTTGTGTCCTTGAGTTTTATTTTTAATTCATATATATGTATTAGGTGAACCTGGATGAAACGAATGCAGTATAATGGAACAGGCCTGCAGTAAATCCTCCTTCATGAGGATTATAATGTTCAGTATTTACTGAATCTGATTGAGAAGTGTTGTTTTATTTTAATGGTCATTGTGGAGGCTGTGATTGTTGTTGTGGTAATGTTTAAGTTGCAGATCAACTTCTGTAAGTGCATGTACATGTGTGTGTGTGTGTGTGTGTGTGTGTGTGTGTGTGTATACATGTCTTGCTGTGGTTGTGGGGACAAATCTGGGTTTGAAACCATCAGTGTGAGGTTATTGTGTTCAGTCGTCACAGCTTCTAAAGGCTTTCTGAGGGACAGCTGCAGTGACTGAGGTCAGTGTCAGGATGAGTCTCTACGACATGAATGAAGCTGAAAGTCACGTCCTTTGTGCAGATTGAAACGAGGAGTGAAGTTCACGCATCAAGCAGCAGCAACATTCAAAAGTTCTCCAGGAGTTTTCTTGTGTTTATTATTCTCTGTCCTCAGTGTTCACAGATTCACTTTCTTGCCTTTTACTTCATTTCTACTGTTGTTGATGGATGACAGTAACAACATGTGAAGAGCAGAATGTGTTCAGCTCTAGCACAGTCACCACCTTCACAGGTGAAAGTATCGACCAGTTTAACATCAAACGGTGTTCAGTAGGAAACAGATGGAACTGACCCACCAGAACTGCAACCTGGAGCAAAACCAGACTCTTCATAGATGTGATGCTGTGACCTCAGAGACGGATGTGTTCACCTCACACACTCTTTAGTGTGAACTGAACACTGACAGATCAGATTGTGAAGCAGTTGTCAGTGTAGTACAGCTCATGTTCATTAGTCTTATTCAGAACTTCATTGTTGTCTTTGAAAAGGTGTTTAATAAATAAACCTGTGATTAAATTGTACTGAGTGTTTCTTCATATTTACCATCTGCCTCATGATGAATCTGACAGTCACTTTGGTGAATTAGTGTTTTCATTATTTAAATTGGTAAGTACGTAAGACAAATTAGAAAAGCATAAACTCTAGTATCTGTCTCTAGATCCTGTATTGTCACTGTTGAAGGACGGACACATTTAAACATTTTCTATCATGTTTGTTGTTGATTAAAGCAACATAGAAAGTCTTTGATTAATTACAGATTCAGGAAAAACTTCAGTGTGTTGTGATTTCTATACTGTGCTGCTGCTACTGCTCAAATTCATACCAGACACACTCCATAAAAACCATCAACAAAGCAAAGCTTCATAAGAAACTTTATTTCACATTAAAACTGCATTAATTTACAATCAACTGTAACTGACATTAGAAATAAAATACAGTTGTGAATGAAGGTGCAGGTGAACTTCACTGTCACAAGACAAGTTTGCATAATAAAGAGGTGGATAAATCTTATTTAGTAACAAGTATAAATTATAGTAGAGATGTAAAATAATACTTCATAGCTCAGTGAGGACAGAGCAACAGTCTGACAGCTTGACTGGAAGCTGTTGCAGCCGTCCATAAGTGATGGAGGGAAGGTGCAAAAAGTCCAGGAGCCGTTATTCATCATCAGTCTTAGTGTTAGAAAACGTTTTACACTGTGGTTTTACAGTTTAACATTAGCACACATGCTAACTTCAGCTACAATAACATTACAAGTTTCTCCTCACATATTTGATATTTGCAATCAGCCTGTAAGACTAATGAAACACTTGTGACAGCTAACCGTGTTAGTTGCAGTGTTGCTTGTTCTCCTTGTGTTTCCTCCAGGACTCTGATTACTAGAACAAAGACATGCACATTTAATTAATTGAGGACTCTAAGTTGTCCATAGGTTTGAGAGTGTGTGTGTGTGTGTGTGTGTGTGTGTGTGTGATTGTGTGATTGTGTGTTGTTGTGATAAACCATTTTCCTGCTTTCCTTCCAGTGCATGCTGGGATACATTCCAGTACTTAAAACTTTTTTAGTTTGAAGTTTGATGTGATGAAAAAAAGTTTGACACATTTCATCCAGAATTACAAAGTTTGAATGTAGAAGTCACATGAATATAAAACTAATAAGATTCACCCTGAAATTCAGAGAAGATCTTTAAATTGTTCGTATGGACATTAACCTTTATAATAACAAGCTACATTTTAATTACAGATAATTACTGTCATTTTAGATAGATTTGTATGTCATTTAAGAAAGCAGAAAAAATACTGTATAAATAATACAGTAATTTTTCTCTACAAAAATGGGAAATAAATGCAATTCATTATTATTGGCATAATGCTTAAAATAGAAGTTTGGCTGTTAATTCACAGATAATTTCTGTCATTTTACAGACTTTTGTTCACAATTTAAAAAAAACTGAAAATTACTATTAGAAAACTTAGTTATATCCTGTAAAATTAGGATTTTTTTTTACAGTGTAAATCTACCTAAATCAGAAATAGTATAATCAACTGAACCAGTTGACACCAGCTGCTCTGGAATCTGATTAATAATCAAAAAACCAGTGTTGGAAGTTCAATCGGAAATAGTGATGTTACATTTGTGACCGATTTGATTCACTGCCCTGAGTGACCCCTAAAACAAGACTATGTAAAAACCCAGTGTACGTCTGGACCGTGAATGTGTAGATGTACAAAAACAATTGAAAATATTGAAGCAGCAACAATAAAAAATTTAATTATGTGACAGGATTATGATTAAAGAATAACTTCCACTCAGGCTGTATATGGTAATAGACAGTCAGTGTTTTAATTAAATCAGAACCTTATCATGTACAAACAATCACGATCAAACGGTGAACCACATGTTGAGCTGCACCGTCAGCTGGTTCTACTGACTCCTGAGAGTCAGGAACGACCTTTGACACCGGGTCTGTTTGCGGTGCAGGCTGGGTAAAGTGTCTCTGAGCAGTGGGCGTGTGCAGTGATGGTACAACTGGTTGGGTGAGTTTTGGGAAGTGAATGAAGTCGCTGCAGCAGAGAGGAGTGTGTACACGGAGGTAAGGCTTCTCTTACTACAAACTGCACTGAAACTGACTGAGCTGTGAGGTCTCTCAGTTTCACATTAATACACATGTCTTCACCTGTGTGTGAGCATTCTGCATTTGTCTCCAGAAAGTGGATTTAAAACACTTCACACAAGTGTTTTGTTCATGTTTTCAACCAGGATCAATATCAATGTTGGTTGATCTTTGATCTTTTTTTTTCTTTGTGTTTTTCATTCCCATTTTCTGGACGTGTTACATGTTGCTACTCGTTAGTTTTCCTATTCAGGGTTGTTTGGGTTGGGAGCCATCTTTAGGTTGGTCTCCTCATATGCAGAAAAATATTACAGGAGGTTTCTTAGACTGATATATTTGTATTTATTTACATTTTTAACAGAAAGCAGCAGGAGGAACTCACATTCACATGACTACCACTAACTGCTGGATATCATGAGATGTTTTGGGTGGGGGGCAGGGGGAGTCAAGGGTCAAATGTGGTTGAAAGTCCTTGGACTACTTTGTGGACTAACTGAGAAGCATGGTTTAATCTTTAATCTGCTGGTGAACCATTGATTTTCTTGCAAGTGTTAATTTAAACTCTAATTGAAATAGTATTTTTGGTCATTTTGTGTGTTGCTTTATTGTTGATGGGGTAAATGTTGCAGCTGATTCCTAGTCAGGGTCTAATGTGAGGGAAATATACAGGTAAGAATCACCTGTTCTCACCTCCTCTCCAGCAGACCATGGCAGCAGCAGAGTCCAGCCCTCTGACCACTCACGTGCTGAACGCCGGTGATGGCGTCCCAGCAGCCAAGATGGCCATCAGCCTGCATCGACTCGACACCAAGCTGATGATATGGAACATGCTGAGTGTTGGGTAAGGGTGCGAACATGTGTCTGATCTGAAACCTGAGGAGAAGATGCTGAATTTTAATATTGAAATTGTACCATAATGTTTTCTGGAGGAGAGCAGGGCGGAGCTTTTCTTTGTCAGAGAGAAAGGTAGAAGGATTAGAGACTGAAGCTGACAGTCAGAGTCCCTCTGAGTTTCAAAGTGAGTTGTGGATACGACTCACTTTGATGATTTTTAGGACAACAAACGAAGATGGGCGCTGCCCAGGACTCATCAGCCGAGGAGCCTTCACCCCCGGCATGTACAAGCTGCGCTTTGAGACCGGTTCATACTGGGAGAGTCAGGGTCAGACCTCCTTCTACCCCTATGTAGAGGTGAGCCCTAGTGTTTGAGATCAATGTGTTGATCAGAGTCAAGATGTCACTTACATAACGATCTATAAATAAGTATTAATAAATACATTTTTTCTAAGGATTTAATTAAATAGTATTCAAATGGGTAATTCAAATATTTATCAAAAGAATTTATAAATTAACAATGGTGACTAAGAATATTTACTAATTTTCCAACTCCACTATATTTCACAGGAAAACACTCCATTACGTTTATTTGATATTTATATAATCAAAAACTAAATTAGTATATGAAGAAATTAAAAGATGCACCATTCATGGTACTTACACATTATTGCCTCAGTGATAATAATCCTGTTATATAATATATAATATTCTCAAATGGGCCATTGTGCATAGTGAGTACTTTTTACTACTTTAAGTAAGTTTTGCTGCGAATACTTTTGTAGTTCTACTGAAGTAAAATCATGAATGCAGGATTTTTACTTGTGTATTTTTACACTGTTGTATTGACACTTCCACCACTGTAAATGAATATATGAACAGTTTCATCAGCACAACAGCTGCTTATGAAAACACCTCCGATGTGACCACTGATCGCCACAAGGTGTCGCCAAATCTGAAAAAAAGATAGTGAGGATGGAGTTTGTTTGTGTCTTGAGGAATATGATTGAACCATGACAATGATATGTGTTTCACTACAGGAGATAAATATAGTATCTACTATAATAAACTATATGATTCAGTGTGGTTTGTGTGTGTCTCCAGGTCGTGTTCACCATCAGTGACCCGGAGCAGAGGTTCCACCTCCCTCTGCTTATGAGTCGGTTCTCCTACAGCACCTACAGAGGAAGCTGAGGGTTTTTTATTCTCCTACAGTTGTACAACAACAGTATATTGTATAATATCGGGACCATATAACATCAACAAAATTACAGTTATACAAAGAAACAACAACATAAAGTTTTCATTTCATTAACCAGTTACATCCGTCCAAAGACTTCCACAGTACTGACAATTCCACAGGAAGCTCCGAGGACGAGCAGCTACAGCCTCAACACAACCAGGGATGGAGAGAGATGGGTGTCTGTTGTGTTGTATTAAATTAAACCTTTCTTTGCTTTTTGTTCATTTTTTTCCCCCCAGTTACAAAATTGCTTTACATTTGCTGACTGTTGAATTTCCAATACGTGATTATATATTTACAGTTTTTGTACAGTGTATATGAAGCAACTGAAAATACAGCTGAAATGATTAGTTGATTTCATTTTTCTGTTTTAGGTTTTTCTGTTTCAATTAATCTAATTAGCTAATTGATGACAGTCCAACTGAAATCACATTCAGCCATCCCTTTCGCAGTGTAAAATAATGGTATTGTTTTTTTTTGTTTGTTTGTTTTTTTTATATGTATTGTTTGTAGTTTTAATATTAAAAGGAGAAAAGTTGTCTCTGGACAAATATCACTAAATTTTATGGTTTTAACCTCTTGACATTAAGGATTTGCTGCTTTTCTTTGTGTTATAGTCCTGTGATAGTTAATTAAAAATCTGTGGGTTGTTGACCGTTGATTACCAGCAGAGCCTCTGGGAAATTGATAATTTAATTTTGATCATTTTCCTTTTTTACCTTCTTTATTTCAATCTTGCTAATGTTGTATTTTCAATATTTTATCATGTTGTTAAATGTATTAAATATTTTTTGAACCTTTATTGACCCTCACATGGCAATTTCATTAATCCCCCAGGCTCTAGAGCTGAAATTATTGGAAATCCAAATCTTTATACTATGTTTTTTTTTTTGTTTTTTTTTTACATGACAATAATGGACAGAAGTAGAGAAACAGACAGTCACGGTTACGACATGTTTTGGTGAGTGTTACATGAAGTCGAGGTGAGCAGCATTGGAGAATGTGCCTCTCTGTCTCAGCCAATCAGAGTGAAGGTGTGCTGTGAGGACCCGCGGCTCATCGTCTCATGCCTGAAAGTAATAAAGCCATTTTAAATCGAATTATATGCATTTACGTACAGCAGATCAGCGGCTTATTTTGTTTTGTAGTGAAATTGTGTTTTTTACCTAAATAATTTTTTATCATTATTATATTTTTAAATTTTCAAACAATAATTTCGTACAGGCATTTGCAGAGACAATCTCCTGGGCCTTTACATCATCCTCCCGTTGACATTTCTCACCGTTGCTCTTATTCAATAACATTTGCACCAGCTACACAATGAAGTTCGCTGGAGGGAACTAAGCAAAAAAAAAAAAAGTTAGTGTTTTTGACTAAAAGGTTGGGCAGGTGGCAGAGGGAGGATGTCTCAGCTGCTGAGGCTTCTCTCAGCGGCCGCTCTGCCTCTCTGTCGGGCTGGAGGAGCCCGGGCACGGCTCTCCGCGGTGACGGCAGGACGGTTCTTCTCAGCCGGATACCTGAGCTCCGCCGCCCCGGTAAGTGAAGATGGAAGTTTTTGAGTAATAGCTGTGTAAAAAAAAAAAAAAAGAAGAAAAAATTAGTCCGTGAGGGACGTAATGGACCAACTATCTTCTTCACGTGGGATGGAGGTTAGATTTAAACTGAAATTTGTTTGTCTAGACGAACGGATATCTAGCTAGCCCGACTGCGTGCTAAATCTGATTGCAGAACCATCCAGTTCAGGGGTCGTTTGTGTATTAACAAGATAACATACCATCTAAAAGTCTACTTCAGACTTTCTCTGCTTTACACCTTTTCCACTCTTTAATTCAGCATTATTACGATCCAATAAAATCCAATGAAAATAATCTTTTACGAGAAGAAATCGACTTTTTTCTTTCTGAAAACACTGCTAGCCGCTAGCTAACATTAGTGTACGGACAACGCTAGGTGATGTAACCGTTAGCTGTTTTTAAAGGATCAAGTATCGGTAACATACTACTTCTTTTATCAGCAGATGTGACACATACGTGGGATTGTTCTACACCATTGTTGACGGAGGGATTAGCTAGCAGTAGCTAATACTGTAATTAGTCATTAAAAAAGCTACAGATAGCTCCTGAGCTGTAGACTAATTGATTAATCAACAACTATTTTTGGTAATGAATTATTAGTTTCAGTTGCAGACGTTTCAGCCCCTCAAATGAAAACCAGCTAATATTTGACACACTTGACGCTTTTCTTTACCATATTTGACAGATCAAATAAAACAAGCTGTTGAAATAGATTACTTTGGATTTTGGATTTTAACAATCCTTTTTACACTACTATTTATACACTGTTTATACACTGTTGTCAAATGGCGTCAGACTTCAATCATTCCATTCTGTTGTCTCCTTAGTTTTATACAGATACATGTATGTTCGTGGTCACATGGTCACATGGTCACATGCCCAGTTGCACATTTAAAGGGTCATTGGTAGTTATTAATGTTCATCCAGACCATACATGTGCCGAAAACATCTCCTTAAGACAGCTTCAGTGTAAGTGACGAAGGGTTAAATCCACAGTGCCTGCTCCACTATAATGTGGCTTCTAATGTTTAACTGAAGCTGAAATGAGAGGAGGACAAATGAATGGGTATTTTCCAGAGTTGTATTGTTTCTAGTACAAAATTCCCTCCTTGTGTTAGTCTCCTTCTACTGCAGCTCAAAGCACAAAAAAGGTGTTTCACACTTTTGTCTGACTCATGCCTTAAATTAGCTTTCTATGTACATACGGGCATGTGAGTATAGTTTATCACAGCATTGAATATCAAAAATTTTAATATGTTTTCAAAATAGCTGTTGAAAAACATTTGATACTTTAGTGATTATTGTATTGTACACTTCATGGTTCAAAGTATGTGGCCACCTATACACTATGTGATAGTTGAATATGAACCATGGGCATTAATGTGCTGCTATAACAGAGCTGCTGGATGCGGGTTGAGCTCAGGGGTCGGTGCAGTTCACACCAAAGTGGGAGAACCAGTTCTTTATGGAGCTGCTTTGTGCGCGGGGTCATGACACTTTAAACAGGAAAGAGACAAACACAAAGTTGAAAAGACACTATTGTCTAAAAAATCAGTGCGTGCAGTGGTGTTAGATTTTCCAAACAGACCCAGACCAGAAGTAAACAGAAGAACGTTTCCTACTTACTTTTGTCATGCTGATCCCTACATCTGCATTATTGCACTGATCACAGAGACTAATGCAGTGAAGGTCAGGTGACCCTCAGTGTGTGTGGTCGTAAAGCCATATACCACTATCTGTACTAACAGGGGTTCTGGGGTCTTTTCCAGAACGTCTGTCGGACTCCGGCTAACTTCCTGCTGTGTCGCAGATTCCAGCCGACTCAGCGACGACTGTTCTCCACTGAACCCAAAGGTGAGAGCTGCTGGGTGTGCGTTTTTATGTGGTTATTATTTTCTCATTTTATTGCGGCATACATTACGTTTGACTCGGACAATTATTGTATTTTCATCATTTACATGTGATTTTGCATCTGTTTGTTATATGGAGATTCATGCCAATATTGATTTAAAACATATCGCTCAGCCCTGATGTGCGTTCAGTCTCGCTTTCTCTTAGTTGATTTAATACAAATTCTCATAGTTTTTACCTGCATTCATCACCACTCAGGATATTATTGAATCAGTTCAGCAGCTTCAGTCGCTCGTATTTACCACCAGACAGCAGCAGAAACACCTGGAGGCATAATAGAAATATAATCTGTCAAATAAAGCTGTTTAAATGCTGTGATGTTTAATAAATAAATCAAGCAAAGATTTGAAATGTTGACATTTTCCATGTCCTCAGGCTGTTGGATGTGACGCTCTGCTGCTGGTGTAACAGGGATAATATCATGTAACAGCAGCCTCAGTTTAGGAAATAACTCACTCTTAAATGATTATTTCACTGGAAGCAGAGGCGAGATGAAACCTGATACTGGGATGGAAACGAGGGAATGAATCCTGGTTGTAATAAAACCGTCTTTGAGTTTCAGATGGAGGAGGAGGAGGAGGAGGAGGTGGAGGTGGAAGATCAGGAGGAGGGAAGAGAGGAGGAGCAGGTGGAGGAAAAGACTGGTGGAGCCGAATGCAGAAGGTTTGTCACAATTCAAACTGACATCACAAAGTATAATGAACACACACACATATTTGAATATAGAAATTCTTATAAGCTGTTTAAAGACTTCTTCTGTGTAGTTCAACTAAAATAAAAAAAAACAGCTATAATAATGGAAACCAAGACGACTCGTGTAATTGTCAGCTGTGTAGCAGACGTCCCGTGTGTCCTCATCACCGCGACGTCTTTATAACCTGTTCCTGACTTCAACACCTGCGTCTCCTCTCTGCTGCTCCTCAGGGCGACTTCCCCTGGGACGAGAAGGATTTCCGTTACATGGCGATCACCGTGGCCGGAGTCGGTTCAGCTCTGCTCTACTTCTACTTCAGAGACAACGGCAGAGAGATCAGCTGGAAGGACTTCGTCCACCGATACCTGGGCAGAGGCTTGGTGAGGGGAATCATGGGACATTTATACCAGGACACACTGGATTCACACCAGTCAGTCCTGTAGTTACTAACACGCCTCAGCTGGAAAAAGAAAATGTAATTTTTAAGAATATAATTGTAATATTTCTAATACTTTTGTCTGTCCAGGTGGATCGGCTGGAGGTCATCAACAAACAATACGTCAGAGTCATCCTGATGCCGGGAGCCGACGCTGATGCGGTGAGAAGAAACAAACGAAATTGAATCTTATTTGATCATCTCTAAAAGAGAGAATATGTAAAAAATCGAACTTTTACCTCATTTTCATGCAGTTTTTTGCTGCTGTAATGAAATTTAGCGTATTTGTCAGTATCTGCTGCATTTTGATGACTGAGGAATGATCCTGTGGAATCAGTTTGGAAATGGGCTTTAGTCCGATTTTTAATACCACGTACTCAGTAAGGCTTTGTTAGATGCTTTTGTTTAGTCTTTGTGTATTTGAATCGTCAGTTTAAAAAAAATGTAACATTCCCTTTATTAAAATTTGACTTTATTTCAGTCTGTGAATAATTAAACAAAAGTAAAGATTTTCTAGAGGCTGAAAAGGCGTTAGATGACGTCAGACAGTAACACGACGTCATGTGTGCAGAGCTACGTCTGGTTCAACATCGGCAGCGTGGACACGTTCGAGAGGAACCTGGAGACGGCGCACATGGAGCTCGGCCTGGAGCCGTCGCACCGAGCCACCGTCGTCTACAGCACCGAGAGCGACGGGTGAGTTTAACAACGGTGCACCGCACAGCTCGGATGTAAGGAGGGAGCGTCGAGCTGTCCGGTTGTGATCAGCACCTGATGTTAATGCCAGGTGCTAACAGGGACGCAGACTCGCACTCTCTCCCGTCAGTCATTTCCTCTGGCGGTTTCACTCTCTCTGAGTTTATCAGCTGTGATTCGTGGCTGTTTGACATATTTTCTCCCCGGTTCATTTTTGTGGTTAAGACGTCGGAGGCGCTTTGAACTCGTCATGAGTTTATTTGCTGTGTGGCAGAAAGAGGCGTCACAGCAGCCTTCAGAAACTCATGCTGAACTCCTCTTCCTTAACTGCTCATTAGCTGCGAGCACTGTTGACCTGGAGCCGTCTCCATTCAGAAACCGTATCTGATGTCTTGTCCTCGATTTATTAGACGTCCCAAAATTTCTCAATCTTAATTTCCTGAAAATGATTGTTTTATACGTCACATAAAGCAGTTAGTGAGTTTCTTTAATGCTTTGACATTTTCCCCATCTGCTGTCTGACGTTTCCTCCTCGTCCTCGCAGCTCTTTTCTGATGAGCATGCTCCCCACTCTGCTGCTGATTGGCTTCCTGCTCTTCACCCTGCGGCGAGGGCCAATGGGAGGAGGAGCCGGCGGCGGGAGGGGCGGGCCCTTCAGCATGGGCGAGTCCACGGCCAAAATGATGAAGGACAGCATCGACGTGAAGTTCAAGGACGTGGCCGGCTGCGAGGAGGCCAAAGTGGAGATCCTGGAGTTCGTCAACTTCCTGAAGAACCCACAGCAGTACCAGGACCTCGGAGCCAAGATCCCCAAGGTACAGAACAGAACACAATCTTATCCAGAGCGCAGAGAAAACATTTTCAAATGGTACAAAAGTCCCAAAATAAAGACCAGAACTCAGATAATCAGGTTTTTAGATCTTTGTGCTTCAACAAAATTCAGAATTATGGAAAAAAATCAAAGTAAAGACGAATTAAATGATTGATTTTTTTTCCTTCTTTCCCAAATGTTTGAGACAATGAAACGACATAGTGGTAGTATAAACGACTGTCATGCTGTGTGTGGTATCCCAGGGTGCCGTGCTGTCCGGTCCTCCTGGGACGGGGAAGACTCTGCTGGCCAAAGCCACAGCCGGAGAGGCCAACGTCCCCTTCATCACCGTCAACGGCTCCGAGTTCCTGGAGATGTTTGTGGGCGTGGGTCCGGCCCGGGTGAGTGAAGGGGAACATCTGTCCTTTCTGAGAACCAGATGTTGTGTTGACTCCGAGTTTGACCGACTCCTCTCCCCCTGAAGGTGAGGGACATGTTTGCCTTGGCGAGGAAGAACGCCCCCTGCATCCTCTTCATCGACGAGATCGACGCCGTGGGGAGGAAGAGGGGAGGGGGGAACTTCGGAGGTCAGAGCGAGCAGGAGAACACGCTGAACCAGCTGCTGGTGGAGATGGACGGTACGCTGCAGAACAGCTGGAGTCCGATGGTTCAGGCTGGACCGTGGAGGTCTGATGTTTCATGTCTTCGCCTCCTGTGTTTTCAGGTTTCAACACGGCCACTAACGTGGTCGTCCTGGCCGGAACCAACAGACCCGACATCCTGGATCCTGCTCTGATGAGACCGGGACGCTTCGACAGACAGATCTACATAGGTACACCTCAACACATGGTTTTGCTGTCAGTTTTGGAGACAGACAGTTTAGTTTAGGGAGTTGAGGGAATTACAGACAGAAAATGGTCCGACCCGAGGGACACGCTGCCCGGGACATAAGAGCCCATGTGCTATGCGCCCCAACCAATCGGCTGTCAGATCGCCCCCAGATCCATGTCATACAACGTGACATCATCACCTCCACCAGAGTTTTCGTTCTTGAAGTTACAAACGTTCACCTGTGTAATTATATTTAATTAATAATAAGCTCTTGAATGATGAGTTTGTTTCACAATAATAAAACCACGTGGTGGAAAAGTGCTGATGATCACATGTGATTTATTAACATAATAATAAGAAACTTTGTTTATGAAGCACTTTTTAAAAACAACAACAACAATATAGTAAAAGAAGCGAAACCACAAGACGGATAAAACCAACAGGATTAAACAACAATCGTTTAAAAACGCTGTGAATGTCTCCCGTCTCTTCTCAGGTCCTCCGGACATCAAGGGGAGGGCGTCCATCTTTAAAGTCCACCTCCGACCAATCAAACTGGACCCCAACCTGGACAAAGACGCTCTCGCCAGGAAGATGGCCGCAGCTACACCTGGATTCACCGGTCTGTAACAGCCACCTTCAGAAATATTTCTGTGAAGTTTCAGACGCTGAAACAGACGAACAGAAACGAGAGTGAAATGAAAAGAAGGTAAAATAACACGAGGTCGTTGTTTCTCCCTGTGAACCAATCAGGAGCCGACATCGCCAACGTCTGCAACGAGGCGGCTCTGATCGCCGCCAGACACCTGGACCCGTCCGTCAACGGCAAACACTTCGAGCACGCCATCGACCGGGTCATCGGAGGTCTGGAGAAGAAGACTCAGGTCCTGCAGCCCACAGAGAAGAAGACGGTAGCGTATCACGAGGCCGGTCACGCCATCGTGGGCTGGTTCCTGCAGCACGCCGACCCCCTGCTGAAGGTACGACACACTCTTGTGCATGTACAGAACACCTGGAGTCATCACATCACACCTGCAGATGTTACCTGTGCTGTCTGTGTGTGCAGGTGTCGATCATCCCGCGGGGGAAGGGTCTGGGTTACGCTCAGTACCTGCCCAGAGAGCAGTACCTGTACAGCCGGGAGCAGCTGTTCGACAGGATGTGTATGATGCTGGGGGGCCGCGTGGCCGAGGAGGTCTTCTTCGACCGGATCACCACCGGAGCGCAGGACGACCTGAAGAAGGTCACGCAGTCGGCCTACGCTCAGGTAAGCGCCGCACACCTGCAGGCTCTGCTTCGGGTCTCTGTCATTCTTTTTCCCGCCGTGACGCCTCGTTCTCCTCCTCCCTCCCCCAGGTGGTGCAGTTTGGGATGAGCGAGAAGGTGGGGCAGGTGTCGTTCGATCTGCCCCGGCAGGGCGAGATGGTGATGGAGAAGCCGTACAGCGAGGCGACGGCGGAGCTGATCGACGGCGAGGTCAGAGGGCTGGTGGATCGAGCGTACGAGCGAACGCTGCAGCTCATCAGGGAAAAGAAGGAGCTGGTGGAGATGGTGAGACTCGAACACACCACCTGCTCGTAGACGTTCAGGTGTCTTGAGGGCTGTGGGCATTTACTGCACATCACTCTTCATTCTACGTTTGTCCGTCTTTTTGTTTTGGCCAAACTTCCCCACGAACATCTTAAATGTTTCATCTCAGACATTTGTCTCTGCAACAGCTGCAGGTTTTAAATTCAAACGTCTTTATTTTTGTTCCTTTGTCCCCGGGAGCAGAGCGAGAAAGTCTAAAGTAAAAGATATTTTTATTGCATTATTCTTATTAATCTTAGACCAGTGTGACTGAAAAAGGTTTTAAAAGTTCAAGAGAGAGAGGTGGATAAATAAATGAAAGAAGCTTTTGGTTTCCTTCACGCCTTTACTACTCTTCACCATTCATCTATAACTTCATACAAATGATGATGAACAACACGCGTGCTGAAGAGAATCACCTGTATCCCAGAGGAAAAGAGAAGTGACCTCAGTGTTGTGTCCTGGTTTGCTCCTCAGGTGGGGAAGCGCCTCCTGGAGAAGGAGGTCCTGGACAAGGCGGACATGTTGGAGCTGCTGGGCCCGCGGCCGTTCGAGGAGAAGTCGACGTACGAGGAGTTCGTGGAGGGGACGGGGAGTTTCGAGGAGGACACCAGTTTGCCGGAGGGCCTCCGGGACTGGAACCAGGAGAGGGGGGCGGAGGCCGAGGAGGCGGTGCCGGCTCAAGACAAACAGCAGGCTGTGTAGCGCCGCCGCCGCTCGGGGGAGGGGCGGGACTCGGATGAGACAAACGAACACTTCACGTCCCAGCTGCAAAAAAACTCAACTCAGTGCTGACCCGGCTCTACAGGCCTGGGAGGGGCTACAGGGGGGGTTCTTTTATAAATGACTTCCACAGATTAGTAATTCACACCCTCAGTTTGTTTTGGCTCCTTCAGGTTAATAACCCAAACTCAAATTATTAACTTGATGCCCTGAAATCACCAGCAGCTTCATCCCATTAGTCCCACAGCTGCTCTCTGTGTGAGTGTGGGTTTGATTTAAAGTTGGGGCTGAGATCACAGGTTTCTGGGACAAAAAAAAAAAAAAGTAAATTATGTTTGTAAATGACAGATTTGAGATCAGATCTTCCTCCTGAGAACCTCCAGGCTGCACAACCTCCGGTTAAATGTAGAGTTCACTTTTATTTATCCAGAAACGCTTCACTGAGGAAGCTGCTCCGAAACGCCTTAACGCTCGACCAACAGGAGACAGCAGAGCAGATTTTAATCTTCCTGCATTGAATGTAAGTGAAGCTCATTTACAGCGTGTGAACAGACTGATTTATCTTTGTATTTATTTCTGCTCTGTGATGGACGTCTGCCTCCCTGCCAACGAGGAAGAAGCTCCAGGTGAAAATTTGCAGCTGAATTTAAAAACATTTTTACAGGTTTAAATATTTTGAGTGTGAAGTTTTTTTTTTTTGTTTCCTGTTTTTACAAGATTTCAAAGTAAGTGCAGAAGTTTTCCTGCATTAACTCGTGTCAGCCCACAGCTCCTCAGTAACCGTCACTTTGGAGTTATTTCACGCCGACACACCTCGACGCTCGACGTGTAAATGTTTGTATAAATTCTGTGAGTTAACGAATCGTCCAGAAGCTGCTTCGTCATCGGCCCGGTGGCTGATGGGTAACGTCTAGTTCTCTGAAGGATTTCTGCTGCTAATTTTTAAAGGTAAAATCCCCCTAAAAAAAAAAAAAGCCATTTCAGGCCAAATGAATGCAGCTCATCCTCAGCACTGATCCCTCTGTCGCAGAGTAAAAGTTGCTTTATTTATGTTTCATTTTTTTTTAATTTTTATCAGCTGCTCTTCTGAACAGAGTGAAACCAATTAAACTTCTCAGCCTGACGTCACTTCTGCCTCCACGCCACCTCATCCTCCAGACAGGGTGAGAAACATATCTGATGTTTCATTAGAAAACAAATCCATTTTTTATTACAGCGGAGTTCCTCCCTATATGGAAGATAAAACATGTCCAGATATATGAAATTGAATTATTGGAAGAAAAAAAGATCTTTGCATTTAAATGATTTTCATCACATATTAAGTTTAAATTTAAGTAAAAATGTTGGAAATGACTGGTGGAAGTAGAAGAGGTTCAGACTAAAAAGAAAAGACAAAAGTTATTGATCACTGTATCTATAGGGAGATTGTTTTTCTTGGTGATGTCACATTATCGTTGTTACTGCAGCCGTCCAGCAGGCGGCGACCTCGCTGCTCAGCTGCAGGAGGGTTCGACTGACGCATGAACAAACTGATGTTTAACAGCTGCTGAACCTGGATGAACGTCAGCCTGGTTTTTTACTGTCACATGAGAAGATGAACGCAGCTTGAATCAACCGAACCCTCCTGTAGGTATGTCAGCTGTGTTTCAGACCTCACTGACAGGAAGTGCATTATTACAGAGACATGGATGTGTACATGTATCACCTGTAACTTTCTGCTGAAGTAAATGAACACAACTCAAAAAGTCAGAAATTACACATGAAAAATTTGTGATTTTTATATCAGAATTGCAAAAAGCAGCAGTTTTAATTAACTTTTTCAAATTGGGTCATATCCTTATTAATGTGTCTTGGTGGTGGTTTAGATTCTCACCTGACTCCAGTGATGAACAGGTGCACGTTAGGACACTGTGACATCGCTAATGGGGGTGTGGTTATCAGAGAGAACAACCAATGACACCCACCAATGATGTCGGGTGTGTCAGGTCAGTGAAACTGCTGCTGCTAAATGTGAATATAATCATCTCTCCCATATAAAAATATATACAAATTTACTTGTAGTTTGACTTTATATAGAAAATATATATAAAATAAAAATTCAAAACCTAATTATTTCCCTCAAATTGTTCAGACACAATTAAGAAACTTTATTGTTTGTTTGAGGGAAACTTGCCTCAAAATTTCTGACTTTACAAGTTGATAAGAAACACTTGAACGCACCGTTAAGTATTTCTGACATTGGGGGGGCGGGGACCTGGTGATGATGCTGTGGAGGTAAGACTTTAAAGACTTGACATGTCCTCATGTACAAACTCAGTCTCTGTTGTGTAAAAGACGCTTGGTGCTCCACGTGAAAATAAACTGAATGAAAAACAAATGGAAGTGAAAAAATGTTTATTGGATTCAGGACAATTTTCTCATCTTTAACCAACTAAAGCCAAAAAAACTTCAGACTTAGAAAAAAAAAACATCCTGAGATTTCTGAGAACTTCACCTGAAAGATTTTGTTCTCCAGGGAAAGTTTCCAAAAAATTTGCTGAAAATACGAGACCTGTAAAAGTGAATGTTACCGGAAACTGTACTTGAAATGTGTCGGATGTGAAGTTCTCTATTCCTGTCTAGTGAAACCTGAAGTGTAACGTCTCTCCAGCTGTGGTTTATTTTATTTAGCTGCTGATGTCTAGTAGAGAAATGACCTCTTGCCACTAGAGGTCACTGTTCATAGCTGTGCACTCAACAAAAAAACAAACAGTTCATTTGAAAATAATTCTCATTTTGTTCTGTTACAAAATGATGGTTCAGCTTCAGTCAAACTAAACCCCAGCTTTATTATAAAGTAATCACATTGAATTTAAACCCTGCACTTCAATGAGCGACACAGTTTAGGTCTCTTAAACATTTGGCTTCAGTTTGTTAAAAATCTAAAATGTGATATTTCTGTTTTCTGTTGAGAACGTCGTGTTTAAAGCTGTTTTTCCTACGTCTGAAGAGTTGTGTTAAATCACTTGAATGTAAAACTCTACTCATACACAAGATTTCTGTATCAAAAAAAGCTACAAAGATGCTACATTCTTGTTTTAAATGTAATGGCAACATTTCTCCAAACAGAAGCTGCACTGTTTACACCTGTCCACCGGGGGGGGGGGGCACCGAGAGTCCCCTCCCCTCGAGAGTCTGCTTGGGGCTTCATCAGGATGAGGACTCCTCAGAGCTTTTCCTCCCTGTTCAGGAACGAGGCCAAATCAGTTTTTAAAAAAATCAAATAGCCCTTTATCTGCGCCGCAGAGAGACTGAAGCTCGTCTGAGCAGCAGGAAACAAAAGATGTCCCGTTGTCTCTCGTGGCAAGTAAAAAGAAAGAAGAATAAATCCCTTGGCTACATGCTCTGTTTTCTTATTAGAAGTCCTTCTTCTTCTTTAAATCCCGGCTCCGGCTCCCCTCTGAGCATCCCGATTGATGGGTTGGTCCTGGTTTATGTCCACCGGTGAACCAATGAGACGAGCAGAGAGCTGGAGAAGAGGGAAATCGACAGGGAGATGGCCGACGCCCCTCCACAGTCCTTTGCATCTTCCTGTTGAGGTTTAACATATTGGTACATATCAGTATACATGAAAACATGCATCATCAGTAGAGGATATATATCTATCAGCTTTTAAATAAATACACTTTCACTAGTTCATGTTTTATCAGGTTAAGATTACAACAGTTAATTATTGATTTAATATGATTTATTTCCTGGAGGTGTGAGATCATGCTTCTCCAGCTCTTTCTAAGTCGAAGTGTAAAGTCCTACATTCAATATTAGCTGGTCTCAAACTGCTGATTCAGGTTCCACCATTAAAACTTAAAGGGTTGTCCAGTGTAAAGGTCTGTCCATGTGTAGTGTGATTATAGATCAGGTCTAGGTTCTATATTAATACTGTGAAAGTATCAAAGCCTCAGTCCACAGAGAAATGCACACAGCCTGTATTCAGAAACTGAGCCTTAAAACCAGCCGTCAGGACTTCTGGAACTTTGTGATGTCACAACAAAGCAGTCACCAAGCCCCGCCCACCTGGACCCACCATCCAAACCTTGCAGGATTTGGTTTCTCTGAGTGTTTTACCTGAAATCTGCTATATTTTTATTGGATCACTCAGACAACAGTCAGCCAATCAGAAGAGAGGCTCAGAGCCTCCTCTTTTTAAAAGGGAGATTTAAATAAAGTGTTCGGACATAGATTTTTGTTATTTTAAGTGTATTGTGTTACATTTATGTAATGTTGGAACCAAGTTAAATGTTTGTATGTAAATGGGAAGTGACATCATGTTTCTAGGAGGAGATTATTTCTAATGTGTCCACTGTTTATGAGGCTGTGTTCAAAATCATTCATTGCATTCATCATGTGTTCATCATGTGTTCACCATGATCCCTCAGTCACGGCACTGACCTTTGGGTGGTAGGCGTGGCAGGACTCCGGACGTCGCCGCACCTTCTGGGATTTCATCCTGTTGCACTTCACGGTGGCATTATGTTCACTGGTGTCAAGGAGAACAGACTGCAGCAGAGGATGGATGTTTCTGATCCTAGTTCTGACACGAAATCAATTTTTCCAAATGCGCAGTCTGTAAATTTCTATCTGAGTGTTTATAAGTAAATAAAACTGAAATATAAGCTCAATCTTTGTCTTTCATTTATATGTTTGGTGATTTTGTCAAACAACATCACAGTTATAAAATCAGGGTTTGACCATTGGTGGTCCAGACATGTACTGGGTTAAGACATTTTATGCCTTACTATACTATGACTTTTTTATGCCTTACTATACTGTGACTTTTTCTACCTTACTATACTATGACGTTTTTATGACTTTTTATTCCTTACTATACTATGACGTTTTTATGACTTTTTATGCCTTACTTTACTATGTTGTTTTTATGACTTTTTATGCCTTACTATACTATGACGTTTTTATGACTTTTTATGCCTTACTTTACTATGTCGTT